TTCATAGTCGGACCCATGCCCGCCTGGTACAATTGTAGATCCGTCATACTTAAAACATGCCCTTTAAACATCAAATATGACATTATTAACAGTGGACACAATTATTATAATGCGTCAAAATCTAACCAGCAGCCTCCCTAGATTTATTTTGTCGCCTAGGTAGGCAGCAAACTAGATTTTGAAACACAACCCAAGGGTTAAAAGACCCATCCCTACATGTTGCACTACATCCCGTGTCAATGAATGAAATAACGCTACAATGTATCGTTCTAAATTCGAATTCGGTCTATTTTCTGAAACAATGTAACGAGTTCCGTTATCGAATACTGTGGATGTGCGGCAAATCAAGGCTTGACTCACCAGCATATACCTGAGCTGTCGTCTCGCACCAGATTGTATGCCTCTCTGCAAGCCTCTTTGTCAATTCGTGTTGCCATTTCGACGATGCAAAGGGAGATAATGTGTCTAAATGCAGAACAAAGCCGGGGGTATGAGAGAAAAAGCGAGATAAATCCCAAAGTGCGACAGAGGGGCTGCTGGTGTGCCGGAGAGGTCTCTTCTCTCAGTGGGATGGAGAGGCAACTAATTTCACGACTCGATTCATTTCCTATTGCTCTTAATGGGCGTTAGTGATATTCGTCTGTCAGGTTGCTGTTCCAGTGAATCGCAGAGCTCGGGTTCACCTCCTCCTAATGGCCAACCTGGGTATTGAGTCACATTAAATCCGCCCAGTTCTGTTCTATCGATGGTTTGAATTACTCTGCCATCTTGTGGACTTTGTTGGGTTCACGTTGAATTTTTGAATAAGAACAATGACTTGCTGTTATTTTTAATATTTTCGCACCCGAGGATTCAACTAAATTAAACACACGATACAATTGAGAAGTAAATTAAAAATACAAATATGTCCAAATCTCGATTAAAAACAAAATTTAAAAAAAACTAAACAAGCAGATAAATATGAACAAATAATGCAAATTGGATTTAAACATAAGAAATATTTTTAAAAATAAATAAATAAAAGGCATATTTTATATATTAACTACAGTGAGTTTGTTCCATGGTTTCTTAAGGGAGAATGTGATAGCAAAAAGTGACTTTAATTTTGAAATAAGCCTTACACGGAAGCTTTACCGTGCTACTCTCAAACGAATTCTCCACTCAGGGGCATTTAATAAGACTTTAATATGGCCAAATAATAGAAATATGGTTAAAAAAAAATCTGAAATTTACTATACACTTGTTGTCAAAGCTGTAGCGATAAATGATGTCCATTTATATTGAAAATCCGCGAAACAGTTACGAATTATTGTGCAAGAGGCTTTTCCTTTGGTACTGAGCTTTTGTCTTTAATTAGTTTAAACGTTGTAAATGTTTATAATAACTTGTGTTTACTTTTCAAATTATTCCGATCATTAATTTTGATTGTGCTGTTTTGCAGATAGTTATGTCAGATGACACAATGGAGATTGGAAAGCAAACTCGTCTGTCACGTCCACACAGATTAAGTGAATCTTCAAAGGTATGCATGACTGTTATTATTCTTAATTATCAGTAAGAACATTATATATATATATACATACTGGGTCAAGATTACAACTCTGGATAGCAAAGTTGTTGGTGGTTCTCTTGAAATTTCATTAATAGTCATGCTATGTGTTTAAATCAAAATGTTATTTGTAGTTTTTTATATATATAAATTCTGTAAACTACATATATGTTTTCCTTAAAATTTCAGATAAAACAAATAGGACTTGGAGTATTGGAAAAGATATATGCGTTTCAGTAATTTTAAGGCCTAAATTTATTTTGACCTGATATCATGTTCTGCAAATAAATGCAAAATTTCTTGCCTGACATTTTCAAGACACATTATCTGTATTATTAGTAAGATTTTATTGAAACACACACCTATTAATAGCAAATCCAGAGAACCAATAATTACTTAAAAGTGCTATCATAGATAAGTAAAATATGGAAACGCATTGGCGATGTGGTAGCCTAGTGGCTAGCACATTCGCCTCACAGCAAGAAGGTCACTGGTTCGAGCCTCGGCTGGGTCAGTTGGCTCTTCTGTGTGGAGTTTGCATGTTCTCCCTTTTTCCACCGGGTGCTCTGGTTTCCCCCACAAGTCCAAAGATATGTGCTATAGGTGAATTGTGTAAGCTAAATTGTGCGTAGATATTGTGCATAAAGCATGTGCTGCATAAGTTGGCAGTTCATTCCGCTGTGGCAACCCCAGATTAATAAAGAAGAAAATGAATGAATGGAATCATATTAAAAATATATAATGAATGCTTTAATAGAATAAAAGTAATTAAATTGATGGACAATACTATATATAATTTTTTATATAAATAATAATAATGTTTAAATAGTTATCATAATTCATTAACTTTTATTGTTACATACCCAATAATTGCATTATTATCAATAAACATTTTAAAATGCTTTAAGTTAAATTTACAGGTTTTTTGCACAATAAAAATAATATAAATAGTACTGTCACATGATAAAAACTCTTGTTATGCTGGTCTGAAAAATTTATTTGGCATATCAACATCACATGATGACCAGAACAAATCTTATGCATCCAGACTGAACAGTGCCCATAAAGAGTAAATGAACTAGTGCTGTTAGAATGATGGGGGGAAAATCATATTATCTTTTAAAGTTTCTTTCAATTGTCCTCATAATCACCAGGTGTATCGATGGGCAGACCAAGCTAACAACCTCCTGCAAGGCTTAAATGAGCAACGACAGCATGGTCAAATGTGTGATGTGGTACTGGTAGCTGATGACCAGCGGATTCCTGCACATCGGGCTCTACTCGCTGTATCCAGTCCTTACTTCCAGGTAGGCTTAAATTTTGTTTGCTGCAATAAATAGCTGAAGCTTTTATCATGGAATGTGTCATTATTACAATATTTACCTAAGCTGCTAAAAAGGCTACTTTAACAGGTATAATAACTAAAAAATACTTTGTGTATTGCTTTACTGTATATACATATCAGGAGTAAATACATTTAAAAAAACAAATTAAATAGCAAAATGACGATAAAGTAGTGTAACACTTTGTAATAAAGTCTCATTGGTAAATGATAGTTAATGCATTAAAATCAAAGTTAATATAAAAAGTATGGCGCCACTTTATAACTGCTATGTACTTGCATCAGAAAATAAATACAATGTACTTACTGTGTTCATAAAGTATTGCAGAAGACTTCTAGTGTTCTTATGATGGGACATGGGTACGGTTAGGGACAGGTTTGGTGATATGGGTGGGTTAAAATGTAAGGGGTGATCAGTTATATAAATTGTAAATGTAATTACAGACATTCATTACAGATGTAATGACATACAGGTATTTAATCAATCATAAGTGCAATCTAAAAACATAATTTACACAATAATTGTAACATTTTATTATTCCAGTGTAAGAACATTAATTAAGGCCACTTAATATTAAGTGGGACCAAAAATACAACTAAATTGTATTAGTTATTAACTCTATTTAACAATTATGACATTTAAGATATTAACATCACGATTCATTAAGATTAATGCTTTACATTGACCTTAGTTAAATTAACAGATATTAACTACAGTTGAAATGAAACTTTATATAATCTAGTACCAAATTCACAATAATATATATAAGTTAAAAGTTATATTCTTTGATTTTTCATTATAGAATTTAATTTCAAACTCTAGCAGCCCAGGTGACAGAGACATTAAACCTATTGCCTTCTTGAGCTCTGACAGATCTCATGAAAATGCTATAAGCAGGGTCTCAGAGACTGTGGCTGCATCTGAAATCGCATACTTCCATACTTGTATAGTACGTTAAAATCAGTATGTGAGTCAAGTAGTACAGTATGTCCGAATTCAAAGAATTCGAAAATCAGTATGAGAGAAGTACCCGGATGACCTACTACCTCCGGCGAGATTCTGAAGTGCTTATCCCATGCATGCTGCACTATACCATGATGGCCCACGACAGAATTCATAAATGGGAGTGAAGCGACGCAACTCACGAGGGTAGGTCACGTGACCATGACAAAATGGCGATTATAGTACATCCGAATTCCATTCATACTGCTCACATTCAGACTTCACAGAACGTACTTTTCTAATGTCCGAGTAGTACGTTTAAATTAAAATGAAGTATCTACTGAGTAAATGGCGCTTTCAGATGCAACCTGTGCGTTTGTCTCTGCATGATACGTTCAAGCTAGTCAGGGCAGGTGAAAACTCAAAAGATTTATTCAAGACCCTGAAACAAGATTTTCAACTAAACTTGTCATGCCCGTTTTCTATACACTGTCCCTTCTAAAACACATAATAGACAGGACGACTCTGTCTCAGATCAGACTTGTTTTAGACTTGCAGACTCATTTAGACCTGTAAGACTTTTTGAAGATGCTGTTTGACTGCAGAACAACATGTCTTAATAAAGAATTCTGTTTGTAACGAGTCTCCTGGCTTGAGTTCTTCAGTAGCCAACACTACTGAACCTTACTTGGCAGAGTTATCAAACTAAAAGGTTTTAAATGTGATGAACAACCATGTCCAATCCATCAATCTGAACATTCTTAATACACACTATAACAATAATTATTTACAGCATTTTTAAGCGCCCATTATATAAAAATTGTCTTTGTTTATTGTTATGATATATTGAATTATTGAATATCGGCATATGTCTTCTTTCAGGCCATGTTCACCCTGGGCATGCGGGAGGAACACGAGTCTGAAATAGAGCTAGTAGGAGCCTCCTATGTTGGCGTTAAAGCCGTAATAGACTTCCTATACAGCGGCAATTTACCTCTCGACGGAGGAAACATCGATTACGTCCTGGAAACAGCTCACCTTCTGCAAGTGTGGCAAGCTGTGGATTTCTGTTGTCAGTATTTAGAAAAAGAGGTACGTGAAGACAACTACCTGTACCTTCAAGAACTCGCCTTGCTATACAGTCTAGATCGGCTGGATGCCTTCATAGACAGATTTATTTTGAAACATTTCAGCACACTTTCCATCACTTCCGAGTTCCTCCAGGATGTGCGGATGTTCAAGCTTTGTGCTTACCTTTCCAGCGAACAAGTGCAATGCCTAAACGAGGAAACTCTTTTTGAGGTTGCCTTTAAGTGGTTGAAACAAAAACCTGAACGTCTTGAATTCGCCCTTCAGCTCCTTTCCAACATTCGTTTCGCTCTCATCCCGTTTTATTTACTAAAATATTATGTTTTGCCTAACGTACATTCCCTGCTGCCTCTGGACACAAGCTGCAAGGTGTTAGTTGAGGAAGCAATAGACTACCACAGGAAGCTCAGCGCTCAGCCTGTAATGCAGACACAGCGAACAGGCCTTCGTGGAGGTGTGGAGTGTCTGCTGCTGCTGGGAGGAGAAGTGTCCGAGCGTGGAGAAGGTTTGAGTGCTGAGGTTTGCTGGCTGGATGAAGAAGCAGGGAAGTGGGTTGAGGAGACTAAGATGCCAGCGCCAAGGAGTCAGCATTGTGTGGCGGTTTTGGGTGGATTCATTTTCACAGCCGGTGGGAGCTGCTCACCGGACAACGGGGGAGATTCTGCAAGTGACATGCTGTATCGGTACGATCCCCGGAGATGCCATTGGATCAAGGTGATTTGTTTGTCTGCTGACTGTTTGGATAGTTTGTGACATTTAAGTTTTAGCTGTAATGTTCCAGGGCGGATTTTGGCAGTAGCTGGTCTAGCTTCAAAGGCTACTCCTCACTGTTGCATACAAAAGACGAAGTAAAAGAGCGGGTGATCAAGTCAAAGAGGTGGGGTCGGGGTGGGGTTCAGAACCTGATAGTATTTCTGGGGGCCCAAAAATGTGTGGGTCCTTTGAATAGTCCTAACTTACCCTATTTAGCAGTGCCCCTGCTCCAGGGTATGACTAAATGGTTGCATTTTTTTATTGAGAGCAAATGACTAACAGAATATTTAATATAAATTCATCCATCCATCCATACATACCTTTGTCTATTCATCAACCCATACAACCATGCATATTTTTGTCCGTCCATCCAGCCTTTCATCTATCCATATTTTGTCCATCCATCCATCCATATCTTTGTGCATCCATCCATATCTTTGTCTATCCATCCACCCATTTGTCCATCCATAGTTTGTCCATCCATCCATCAATCCATCCATCCATCCATATTTTTGTCCACCCATCCACCCATTCATCTATCTACATTTTGCACATCCATCCATTCTTCCATCCATCCATCCCTCCATTTCTTGTTAGTTAGTTTTTTGTATTAATACAATTATATACCCATCCACCCCTTCACTTACCCACCCACCCACCTATTCATCCACCCACCCACCTACCTATTTATCCACCCACCCACCTGTTCATCCATTCATATTTTGTCCATACAATCAATTCTTGTGTAAATAAAATTAGATATCCTTATATATATATATATTACATTAAAATTATGTTATATATCCAGTTAATTACAATTTTAATTAGAAACAAAATGAAAAACCCATAAAACAGTGAAAAGAAAATACAAAAACAGAACAGATTAATAAAAATAAACTAGAAGCAAAATGTAATTCTAAATATTAATGCATATATTAATGCATATTATAATATATAATATTATTCAAACTAAAATAACTGAGACATAACCTATTTTCAGTTTTCAGAAATAATACCTTTTCAGTGTTAAGTATATATATATATATATAGATTCATTAAGATTAATTTATATATAATACAGTGCTTAGCATTATTGAGTACACCTCATTTGGAAAATTAATGTTTTTATCCATTTCTCAGTAAATATAGGCAACATATTTTTTCCATATTTAAAAATTGAAAGATATTACAATTAAATTCAAGCCAAACATTGCAAATACAATTTCAACCTACAATATTTCAACACATTTTTAAATTTTAATTTTTTTGCTTCTTATATTTTTTTCCTTTTTAAAATTTGTATTTAATATTTTTCTATACCTTATAAATTTTGGCGTACAAATTTTTTGGTCCGTTATCTTAAGTTATTTTGTTAGATAAGCTCCTGATTTGGTTTCAGTACTGACTAATCTAATATACAGTTGAAGTGAGAATTATTACCCTTGGCAAGGAAAGTTTCACAGTATGTCTGATAATATATATTTTTTTTTTCTGGAGAAAGACTTCATCGTTTTATTTCAGCTAGAATAAAAGCAGTTTTTAAATTTTTTTAAACCATTTTAAGGTCAAAATGATTAGCTCCTTTAATCTAGTTAAGTCTTTAAATGTCACTTTAAGCTGTATAGAAGTGTCCTGAAAAACATCTAGTAAAATATTATGTACTACTGTCATCATGACAAAGATAAAATAAATCAGTTATTAGAAATTAGTTATTAAAACTATTATATTTAGAAATGGGTTGAAAAAAATCTTCACTCTGTTAAACAGAAATTGAGGAAAAATTAAACAGGGGTGCTAATAATTCAGAAGGGCTAATAACTCTGACTTCAACTGTATACTGTATGCACAAATATAATATTGTATAGCTTCCTATTAAAAATATGAATTTAAAAGATAGATTTGTGACTTGTGAGGTGTGTACTTATATATATGCTAAGTACTGTAGATTATATTTATTTATTTTTTACAAAAGTAAATTGATATACACCCTATAAATTTCATAGGGTGTCCTAACTTTCACATGACTATTAACTCTATTTTTTGACAGAATTGAGCGAGTTTGAATGTTGATCTTTCCATTTGCAGGGTGCTCCTATGAACCAACGGCGTGTGGATTTCTATCTAGGAACCATGGGAGAGTGTCTTATTGCTGTCGGGGGACGCAATGATAGCGGACCTTTGTCTTCTGTCGAAGTGTATCATCCTGCTGATGACCACTGGACCTACGTTGCAGAATTACCCAAGTTTGTTGTGTGTTTTAGATATTACTTCCTAGCAATGCTAGGCAGTTTGTATGGAAATGTATTTTAATATGTACCATTTAATAGTACAGTAAGATATTTGATAATCAAAATAAATAGTTTTTATTCAGATTGGTCATTAAATTAGACATCTGCATGTAAAAGATCTAAATAAATGCTGTTCTTTTGAACTTTTATAACTTTGTGTTTATTATTCTAATAGAAAGTATTACTGTTTTCTTTCATAGATTCACATATGGTCATGCAGGCACCATCCACAAGGGCATCGTCTACATTTCAGGGGGTCATGATTACCAGATCGGTCCATACAGACATGACATGCTAAGTTATGACCCTAAAACTGCAGATGCATGGAATGAGTGCCAGGCCATGATCTTGGCACGAGGCTGGCACTCAATGGCATCTCTAGAGGACAGAATTTATGCCATTGGGGGTAGTGATGACCATGAGGACAGCATGGAGCGTTTTGATGTGTTAGAGGTGGAAGCGTTTGACCCGCAGACCAATCAGTGGACTATGATTGCTCCTCTCAGGTATGCTAGCAGTGAGGCTGGTTTAGCAGTGCTGAATAGAAAGATCTATGTTTTGGGAGGTTATAGCTGGGAGGCCATGGACTTTTCACAGGGCACTCAAGTGTTTGATCCAGACAAGGAACAGTGGACTTTGGGTCCAAATCTGCCAAAGCATATTGCTGGACCTTCGTGTGTGTGTCTTATAAAACCTGAGCTAATCGATAGTATAGACACTGAGTGAGACAAACATAGCTCCAATCAGGAGCAACATAAGTGATTGACTGGGTGTCTTCTTCTAAAGAACTAAACTATTAAAACTTGGGTTGTCAAGACAAAATCGATTGGATGCTTCTCAGAGCCTTTAAAAAAAGGTCAGAAGACAATACTGTGCTGTCAGGCCTTGAATAGAAGCATAAACTAACTTTGTAGGTTTTCTTACAGTTTTTTTTTTTTAAAGATGTCTTTGATGTTTGATTTGCATTTAAAACATCGTTTATTCAAAAAAGAAATCTGGTTAAAGGATATCAGCAGTTTGGAGAGTCAAGAAGCATATACAGGCAAAACAAAATTAATATGTGTGGGTTCTGATGATACATTGAGATAATATAAAGTGAAATGGTCAAGAAACTCAACAATATTTACAACATTACCTGTACACTGCAGCCTTAACAAACAGCCCTGAGCATGTTCACAGTTCATGAAACGCTTGAACTGTTTCAGGTAATAATCTTCTTTAAAGAGTAAAGAAAACCTTTAGGCGAAGTCTACCTCAGAGATTTTTTGTTAAAATACAACTTAAGTGTGCATGGAAAGCTGTGAGCAGAAGGTTGGGGAGTGGGTGTGGTGGAGCAAAGCAGGGGAGAAAGAGGAGAGGGTAACCGTCATCTGCCAGTGGCCCATACTGACTCTGACTCGTGAGGAAATGCTAAATTTTTATATTTAAAGAATACTTATTTTAACATTTAGACAGACATTAAGCAGATTTGAAGGGACAGAAGTGTCCTTGGCCACTTGAGTGTTTGAAAGTTGGGTCTCAGTGTTTGAATGCCGTGTCAATTTACTGACTGATCTGCTGATAGACGTGGCTTTCAAATACTCTACTGTCTGCCTGCATCCCTTGTAAACCTGTGATCATTAGAGCCCATCACTTTAGAGTCATATCAATCAATCAGCAGTGTTTAATAATCCTCTCAGCAGCGCTCAAAATGCAAGTGGGAAGTGCTGTAATCAGTACATATTTTTAAATTTAGTACATGCTCAAAGAGTTTGCCACATCTGACAACACGGCCCAACCTCCACCATGACCCATCATGAATGCCTAATTACTGTCTGTTTGGTCTTGCAACTTGACCAAACATTTCTTCTCACAGGATAACAAAACTCAGTCTAATGTCATCATACAGTGTACTCGAGTATGTCCTATGCTAAATCACCAGAAATGACACGGGCCCAATATAAATTTCAAACACAGAAGATGAAAATATGAGGGAAAGCTGAAATTTAGCTAGTTATTCCCTACAATTAAAGCTAACAGATGCTAATGTTGTCTTAAATGTTCAAGACACACAAATCTGTGCATTTAGTCCAGAGGTTCATGAACCTTTAATGTTCTAATGGAAAATAAGTTCATCTTTAATGACCAGAGAATGAGCAAATAATAGCACATTTAAATCAGCTAACAATCCCATTAACAACAATACCAGTCAGATTTTTAATTATTAATTTGTTTTATTTTTACTTTTAACAGGCAAGGACAATGATGATGTACAATATAATGTTACAAAAGATTTCTTATCAAAGTTTAGCTGTCCTAGTTGTCCTGAAAAAAAGTATCGGTGTTCGCAACAATAGTAATTAGTGCAACTGTTTCAGCATTCATCATTGTTTCTTAAGAACCAAATCAGCATATTAAAAAGGTTTCTATAAAACTCACCACATTAATAAATTACATTTTAAAATACATTTAAAGTATTATTTTTACATTTCTGTTATTTCAAACAGTATTTCACTGATCATTAACATTTGAATGTTATTGTATACCTTAATGCTTATCGTGTGAATCTAATATGCTGCATTTTATAGCAATGCATTAAAATCTCTTCCAGAAGTGCTTGACCATTGATTTTCCTATGTGGGTTCTTTGTCATCCAAGACTAACAGCATTTTACTTGAAGGGGTAGAAGTAATGTGCTTCCAACCTAAAGAGCAATAACACCATACTGTTAATTACTATCTTGGAAACACTGTTATTCCTGTTTGCAATCAGATCACTGTTTATGTACCCACATTAACTTGTGCAAAATTTTGTATTGTTTCATACAGAGCAGTTTATTTATTTTGACCTTTATTTCCAAATGAAAAGGTTGGAAGCAATATTGACTGAATTTTAACATCCCTTGTTTGATTTGGGATGTTACATTTTAAGCATAACTTAAATGCAAAATAAGAAAAAAAATCATCTTGAAAGGTTTATCGTTGCATATTATATGCTGTTTACATATGCATGACAATGTACTTGGACTGTTTTGTGTAAATGCCTCCTTGACCTTTACTATTAAAATAACTGAATTCAATATACTCTTACTCTGTTATGATGCAGGCCCTCCAGCCTCTATTCAAAGACTTAAGAGCATTCATATCCTCTTCATCCAGAGTGAAATCAAAGATCTGCGTCCACCCATAAAGTACACAAACACAACTGTTTATTAAGCTTATTGTAGCTTAATTTTATTTAGTATCATATGATATATCAGGATGAAACCATGAGTTACCAGCTGACAGCTTTAGGTGAAATAAATTAAATGTACAGTACATAATATTTGGAGGTTTACCTTTGTGTTCTCCAAAATATGGTGGGGTTTTACGCTCTTTGGGATCACTGCAATGTCCTGTTGAATGTGATAGCGCAAGAGAACCTGCAGGAGGATTAATTCAAAGATTAAACCCTTAAAATAAAACACATAATCTATGATAGCACTCTCTCAAAAAAAGCATTTATTTTTCTTCAACACAATTAAGAACCATTTTAGAAATCCTTAAATACCATTTCAGTACACAGTTCCTTACTAAACGTAATTGTGTAGTCTAACAATTTAATAATCCAAGGAAACATTTACTACTTTAAATAATGTATTATCTAATACAACGATTAAACTGATTTTAAATTAGAGTAGAAAAAAGTGGACAAAATATAAAAGGTTTCATTGGCATTGAGTAAATTATAACCTGGGCAGGAGTCCGCCTGTGCTTTCTGGCTACATCAACAACAACAGGATCCTCCAGCAGTCCCATTGGATCCTTGTCTCCTGTTTGGCTGCAGAGGTAAGATAATAAAAGTAGGTTATTGTAGTACAACCATGCTAACCACAAATTCACCATAGTTTAGCAACACTGACCATAGTTTAACAATGGTATTAGTAGTAAAACTGTGCTTATACATATGATAATCACACCAGTGTGCCTAAAACAAGGTACACTGCAATAAAACACATTTCATAAATAGCTTTGGTCAACTATAAGAGATGATAAAAAGACATATTGCTTTGAACTCAACAATTCTAAAGGTCTCCCAGGTGAACCAAACGGGCTATGGGCTGTTAAAGCAATGTTCTTGGATTTACAGTAGTCTATCAGATCAGACTGAACCAGGTACGGATGTAGCTCCACCTGTAGACACAACAAAATTGACAATATTATTAAGTTACCGAATATTTCTCATGTTTGAATATCTATATGTTGACTCATGGTTCGTATTATTATTCTTTTTTCTTCCAAACCGCATTTGTTGTTGTGATAGCCCTGCTAAAAAAACAGCTTAAACCAGCCTAGGCTGGTTGGCTGGTTTTAGCTAGTCAAATGGCTGGAAACCAGCCTAGAAATAGCCAAAAGCCCTCTAAAACCAGCCAACCAGCCTAGGCTGGTTTAAGCTGGATTTTTCAGCAGGGAAACCATTGTAAAACCATTGTAAAACGATGGTAAAACCATTGTAAAACCATTGTAAAACGATGGTAAAACGTTCGTAAAACGATTGTAAAACGATGGTAAAACCATTGTAAAACAATGGTAAATCCATTGCAAAACGATTGTAAAACCATTGTAAAACCATTGTAAAACCATTGTAAAACGATGGTAAAACCATTGTATCCCTGCTGAAAAAAACAGCTTAAACCAGCCTAGGCTGGTTGGCTGGTTTTAGCTGGTCAACCAGGCTGGTTTCCAGCCAGTTCTTAGCTGGTCAGGCTGGGAGATGACCAGCTAAAACCAGCTTGACCAGCCTAGCCAGGCTGGGAGCCCAGCCAAAACCAGCCATGTCCAACTTAAACCAGGCTGGTCAAGCTGGTTTTAGCTGGATTTAGCTGGTCATTTTCCAGCCTGACCAGCTAAGACAAAGCTGGAAATGGCTGGAAACCAGCCTGGAAATAGCCAAAACCCCTCTAAAACCAGCCAACCAGCCTAGGCTGGTTTAGGCTGGATTTTTCAGCAGGGAAACCATTGTAAAACAATTGTAAAACGATGGTAAAACCATTGTAAAACCATTGTAAACTGATTGTAAAACGACTGTAAAACGATGGTAAAATCATTGTAAAACGATAGTAAAACTATTGTAAAACGATGGTAAAACCATTGTAAATTGATGGTAAAACCATTGTAAAATGATTGTAAAACGATTGTAAAACCATTGTAAAACGATTGTAAAACAGTAGTAAAACGATTGTAAAACAGTTGTAAAACGATTGTAAAACGATGGCAAAACCATTGTAAAACCATTGTAAAACGATGGTAAAACCATTGTAAAACCATTGTAAAACAGTTGTAAAACGATTGTAAAACCATTGTAAAACGATTGTAAACTGATTGTAAAACCATTATAAAACGATGGTAAAACAATCGTAAAACGATTGTAAAACGGTTGTAAAACGATGGTAAAACCATTGTAAAACCATTGTAAAACGATGGTAAAACCATTGTAAAACGATGGTAAAACGATCGTAAAACCATTGTAAAACTATTGTAAAACGATTGTAAAACGATGGTAAAACGATTGTAAAACCATTGTAAAACCATTGTAAAATTATGGTAAAACGTTCGTAAAACGATTGTAAAACCATTGTAAAACCATTGTAAAACGATGGTAAAACCATTGTAAAACGATTGTATAACGTTAGCGCACCTGATTAACCGCCGGCGGGATTTTGGCGACAGATAACAGTCTGTCTATTTGCTCCATTGTAAAGTTCGACACGCCGATACTTTTCACCTTTCCTGTGGCTTTCAACGCTTCCATTCCCTGAAACAGATGACAGAACACTCTAAACACCTTAAGGACATTATTAGCAA